ACTTTCTAGCATTCCAGCAAATAAAAATTGAGTCTTGCACCAGGATCAAGACAGGACATGAATTAATTAGTTAAATAAATATAATTCCTGGTTCCTCACATTGGACAGTTTGTTGTGGTTGTTAACTGCCCTCAAGTTGATACCAACTCATGTCGACCCTGTGGATGAGACATCTCAGAAAAGATATTTCACTTAATCATTAGGAAGAAGTTTAAGAGCTCTTTGACAGTGGAAAAGACTATATTGGAAGGTGGTCAACTTCATTCTTTGGGGGTCTTTAAACAGATTTGATTTGTACATGTCAGACTGCTGTTAAAGGCAGAGAAGATGGACCAAAGAATCAATGGATCATCTCTATCATGTTTACATCCCAATTTATCCTTGCCAGATAATTCAAGACAGACTCTTTTTTAAAAGAAGCACTCACGGGCTTAACTAGATTGAGGCCAGACCATGGCCTGAATCCAATTTCTAGTTCCAATTAGAATGGATCCATTCAATCAATGGGATTTATATAAATGTTGACTTGCCAGTCAGCTATTGATTTAATAGCTGGATTTAGGCCTGTGAGTTTGGATTCAGAAGTAGTGTTTGTGTGTGTGTAAAAGTTCAGATTCTGCAAACATTGCCAAGCATCTCTCCTAGAAAGTATCCCTGCCCTTTAAGCTATGAAACTGAACATTTGGAAACATTCACCTTAATTTCCAGCCACAACTTCCAAAACTCCTCAATAAGCAATAACAAATGACAGCACAATCTTGTTACACCATCACACCCTGTGTTTCCTCCATTATGCTCAAAGTACTCTAATATCTAGGTCTCCAACCTCTGTGAGGTTGGCAAAAAATGACTGACCCAAGAGCATCAAGTGAGTTTCATGGCCCAGTATGGAGTAAAACCTGAATCTCCAAAGCCTCAGTCCAACACTCTAACCAGCAAACCACACTGTAGTTGCTCTTATATTACCATTGCTGTTAACATCACTGTCATTAAGAAAAAAAGAAGGAGGAACGGGCCGCAGTAACTGCAGGAGACGTCGATGATCACCACCACCACCAACGCTGGTGTTGTTGTGTGCCCTCAAGTCATTTCTGAC